TATTTACTTCAGATGCATCTGTAACATGCATTACCTTCCCAGTGCCTTTTATATTTCTGTAAAAGCTTTCAAGCTAGTGGATCATAAGGACTTCATTATGGAAAGGAAAGCATTACTGGTGTAAATGACCTCAGCATTTGAGGCAAGCTTTTATCATCAGTGCATCATAAGATGCACAAATAAGACTTTATTCATCCCGCTACACAGAATTTCACTCTGATCCTGATAGTGAAGGACTTTTCAACATAGATTATGATTTAGTTCATCTGCATAGACTAGCATATTCTAGCGGGCAAGATCAATATCCTGTAACACAACAGGCAGCACTTCAGAGTTTTACATGGCCCAAAATATATATAGTCACTGCTTATTTCTCTGCGGAAAATCTCATACATCACTTAAGCAATATCTGACCATATTTCTGGACTTGATTCAAACTTTCATTTTAGCTCTGGAGTTCACCTTTGAAGAAGATTCAGCTTTTAAATTCTTTTTTCTCGCTTTTAAAATGGACATAAAAATACTTCTCATGGGAGATCAGAATTAAAGCACAGAATGAACGTGCACAGCAGTGCAGTGTTTTGATGCCTATGTCTACCAGAAGAACAATGGTAAACACTTGGACTGCAAAGGGTTTGGTAAGCATTTTTTTCAGAGAAATAAATTTAAGAAGCGGTAATGAAAAAGTGGCGGTGAGTGGTTAATCCAAGTCTTTTCTGGTTCTTTCCCTGTTTTATTTTCAGTTGTCTGGGAGTTGTTCAGCATTCTCCTCCATAAATTCCTGACTCACCTTCTCTAACGTAACGCTCCTGGCAGATGCTCTCAGCTCCCTCTCCCCATCCATCTAAAGCATCTCTCTGGTGAGCGATACGTGCCATTAGCCACACCACCTGCTCACACCAGGGAGTCCTTGCTGCGCAGGAGGGTTTTGCGCTCTAGCCTCAACAGTCCTGCGTCAACCAGGTTTTAAAGTCAATAAATTAACAAATTTCACTGCAAGCAGGATAGGGACTTTCACAAATCTGTCACAGTTGTTGCTATTTTAGACAGCATGAAGAGGGGAAGGAACATCTGTACCTAAATTTTGTCCTGCTGTTCATTTTTCTAATTTCTTTGGGATGTTTGTAGTTGAAAGGGGTTATGTATCTTTTTTAGTGTAGTGAAACTGCTTTTGCAGACATACCCAGATTTCTCAGGTGGAAGGCTCCCTGAAGTTAAAACACGTTCAAACAAAACTCTTGTATTATTGTCCTCTTTAAAAATAGAAAGAAAAAAGAAAAATCACACTGAGTAAAATATATTAAAGGCAATTTAAAATCATGTCCATTCAAAGAAATGTGTACATTGAATTAAATATAAGGCTGACATTCTGATACCTGCACTTGAATTTCAGTAAGTAGAAGAAAAATCTGACCGCCTACATAAAACTTTACCAATGTTAAATTCTACTGTGAATTTGTTATTTGAACGTCTATTTTTGTGGAAAGCAACAAACCAATCCTAATACAGGTTCTTTTGTAACGGTACAGCTATTGCTTGGCATCTCTTCAGGATCTCTGCTTATTTCTGTCTTTAATTATCACAGTGGCATATCGCGGTAATTTTAAATTTGGCCTTTCAATTAATTACTTCCCTTTTAAATTAGGGCAATATTAATACACTCGTATACTCCTCAGAAGTCCTCCCAAAATTACTAGACCTGGTTCCCAATAAACAGTCAGCCTTTGCACGTTGCCAGCTGGGGGAACGGAGTGGTTGGTGGTTTTGTTCTTAAAGCTGCGAGCTTCTGCCCTGTCGCTCTCACTGTATTTTACCACATCTTCCATTTACAGGAGTTCAGTGATCAGTTTGCTTGTGTTTCCGTAAAGCCTGCTGTGTTGCTAAGACAGAGCAGTACGCTGGCAAGTTTTAAGATAAGTTTTTCTGATGGCAATCTATGGAAAGGCATTGCAAATATTCATGTAGACCTAAAGTAATTTCTTGCAAAATTAAATATACTTTGACTTGAAAAAAAACTGTTTACAGCTCACAGGAGAAAAAAAAGCTCTAAATCTGTTCAAACTTTCAGAGCCTGAAAAAAAAAAGGTACTGCAGAGTCTGGCAGGAGAGACCGATGTGCCTGCTGCCTACAGAACGCACTGGGAGGTTCAGAAGATCCAGCAGCCCGACTACCTGCAGCCACCACTCACACCAGCAACGTGGAGGCTGGCTCTCAAAACTGAGCTAGCAATTCGTAGTAAAACCCGAATTATGCTGCTCCTCTGTGTTGTTACACTACAAATACTGAGCTAGAGTATTGAATACTGAAGAAATCTGCGTGGAACACGGACCAGGGCAGTTCCACGCAAAGGTCTCTGTCAGCCCCTGCTCCCCACAGCAGCTCGGGTTTCTTGTAACATCACTATTAACTCCTGCATCAGGGAATCCCACAGAGACCTCCTGCCACTGCCACCGCCTTCCCAGCCCCTCGTGCCCCCAGTGCCTTGCCCGTGGCCCTGCTCTTCCTGTTGCAGACCAGCTCCCCAGCAGCTTCCAAGCAGGACTGATATTCACAATACTGCTTTTAGATCTTGCTTGTCTCATCTGTTTGGGGAGAACGAGTTTCAATTAATCCTAGTAGGGCCCAACTAACCCATCCTCCTCTCATGCTGATGTCAACCTCCTATCCTTTTTCCTCAGGATTTAGATTTCTCAGCGTACTCCCCACTGTTCATAGCAGATGCTGTAAAACTGTTGGAATGCAAGTGAGTTGCAATTTAGAAAGTCCACACTCCTCTATTCAGCAGAATCAAGATCTAATGTCAATGCACTTCTGGAACTTCAGTAAGAACAAAACAGCAGGGGGGTTTTTCCAAATTAATTGCCGATGTTTATGAAGAGATTTCATTGCTCTTCAAGGAGAATTAAAACTAAAATACAAAGAACTTGGCCTGAACCTAAACTCACAGAGAAGGCACATCAATGCTTCATTAGAGCTCTCAAAGATTAAAGCTTACCATTAAGGTGAGAAAGGTAGTCGATATATGCCAGCACATATTCTGGAATGTCCCCGTATTTTTTCAGCCCTAGCTCAAAAATCTTAAAGGCCACAGACTTATCCTGAAAACATTTAAAAAAAAAAAAAAAAAAGTTACTGGCTTCAGTGAGCTACGGACCCTCCTGACACTTCTTTAAAATCAAACTAAGCATGTATGATTACCTTACTACAATAATACTCCATTAAAGCTGCTGTAACATAGACGTGATGGCGGGTCCGGGCATCTTCTCTTGCTTTCTTAAATATCATTCTTCCAGATTTTATGCCTTCTGCTCGCCTTGCAAATTTCATATATTGGATATAAACCTAAGGTACATATTAATATTTATGTAGTCAGTGCTAACAAAGAATACAAGGGTATAAGAAAGGTTTTGACTATATCTGAAATAATCTTTACCCACAACATACAACTAATAAGTCACAACAGAAACAAGACTCTGTTGTGCCTCTATGCTGTGTTGCTATAAATAGAGGCAAAGCTTTTTATATACTTTTTTTTAAAAAATGGAATATACCTAAGACCAATCCCCTGAAATGACAATAGTTAATACACAGATTTTTTTAAGGAAGGGCAGGGAGGTAGATGAATGTAATTTACCTAAGCTGGTGCCTTCAGAGAACTAGAGGCATACTGTAAAAACAGTAACTTTCCAATAAAGTTAAGACATCCAGAAGGCTAAAGAACAGTCGAAAGGCTCGACGAAGCATTTTACCATACATTATACAATCCAAGATACGAATCATCCTGTCTGCAAATATTTATACCCCGTCAAGGAAATAATGAATGTGCTATTTAATTCAGGGGTTGCTTTGTGACTTGCGTTTCTTTGGGATTTAACTTTCCTCCACTCTGAATTAGACCACAGATAACAGCACTCCTCAAATAGGAGGAACTGGTAGGCAGTTTCTCTCAGAAAATGTGTGTTTGGGAGGTGTTATGATCTGTGTCTAATGAATAGAACATGTCAGTAAATGGATACCTTTCCTCTGATGCTGACCTGTTTCATTTAAACCTCAGACCTTCTTCCTTCTCATGCTTTGTTGTATCTATTTACAAACCAAGCAACTTTTTGAGGGCAGGTAACTGCCTCACACCATTTGTTCAGTACAAGCACAGCTAGCACTACAGGCCATGGTGTTTGCTATATAACTTAAGCATATGTACAGCAATACTCTGATACTTATACGGTGTATTACAAATTTATTTGCAAGCTACGTGTACACAGTACGATGTATTTCTGTGTAGGGAGAACAATGAACAAAGGCAACATGCTTCTGATCAGCTAAGGGGAGGCAAAGTCCAGTTCTAGTTGAGCCAACAAAGCATACACTGATTCTTACGAGCTGCGTCACGGTATCTTTAATGTCTTCTATGTTATTATTGCTTATTTTAAGAGATTCTCCAAAAGAGACAGAGAAGGAAAGCGCACAACTTAGTGTATCTAAGTGGATTAAAAGCTCTAATTATAAACCTTGCTGAAAATTTAATCTAATTCTGTCATCTCAGTACTCCACCTGCTCCATCACCCCTGTGACCCAGTGAACGCCTGTGAGTACTTCCCCATTCTTTGAGTGTACTCGCGTGACCACTCACGCAAAGGTGGACAAGCTGAAGGATCATCTTACCAGAGTGGGGTCAATGTCTTCAATAGCCAGGAGTCGGTTATATATGCTGTGTACTTTCTCATACTTCATTCGACTCTAAGTAAATAAACAGGAAACACAGATTGCTCAGTGATGCTACTACAAACCACCTGGGAGAATGCAAAAATCAATCTGAAGAAAAACCTAAAATTTTTCTGTTTCCTTTTTTCCCCAGTGGAACACTATGTATGTCAGTCCCTTTACTCGGATGCATTTTTTGTCTTGTGCAGTCATTTCTTTGCTTCCCACATTAATTTCTCACTAGTGCTTACATAAATGCTTTTCAAGAATCTCTGAAGTCTGTCTCTAATTCAGCAATACTGCAGCAGAACTGCCATTGTGGGTGTTTGGGGTAAGACGACTGTCTCCTTTACCTCCGTCTAAAAGTAACATGCAGACAGCAGGAAAACCACCACCTTTATTCTCCAACCTATGTGTTTCAAATAATCCATTCTGTTCCCTGCCAGCCGCAGCCCTCCAAGTTGTATCGTGCAGCCTTAAAAATTTCAAATTGCCATTACGCTTAGGATACGAGAGGCTGCACTGAAAGCCAAGGAAGGCTTTTTCTTTTAAGGGCAAAGGGTTTTTTTTCCTGTTGTCCTCAGGATCTTCCTGCAAAGGCTTTTCCGTGTTATGATAAGCGAGCAAAATAAATCCTGCAGAGGATTCGGCAGTCCTCATCTGATCAGTGGGAAATGGCCTTTACTCCCGAGGGCTCACGCGCAAAACCATCCACTGTCGCGGCACTGCTCATTACGGAGGCTGTGCATGTGGTGGTAGCCTGGCTAAAGAGACTCCTCAAGCGGCATAGGGTGCCTCCCGTCTTCCCTCACAGCCATGCAAATACAAACATCAAGCCCCCAAGAATTAGATAGGAAAGGTGTTCTTTATCCCCATTTTGAAAGTGACAAAGCTGATGCTCCGGTAAATGTAAATCTATCAGCCTTTAAACTTCACAGTAGTTTGAAAAATGTAGTCAGTATTAAAGCAGAAAGACAGTAAATTGTCAAAAATTTTGTAACTCATACTATGGGCTTCTCCTCTCCATTTTGTCAGCTTAGTCTCAGAAACACTGAATGCAGTTAAGGCTAGAAGAATCAGTAAATGACAGTATTGATGAGAGATGTCTTTGGGTTTTGACGTCAGTACATCACTATTTTTGCTCACCTCTTCATAATCTGCATATGCAAAATAAAGAAGCATATTCTTCTTTAATAAAGTGCTGATCGCTCTTTCATAAATATTAGCAGCCTCATCACTGAAAAGTTTAGCATTGTTCATGTCCTGTTATAAAATAAGTATGATAATATAATTGTTCAGCATCTGTGACAATGAAGGCCAAGCTATGGAATATCTTTTGTGTGTGAAAAGTCCCAGTGAGCTTCCATGCAGTGCTCCAATAAAGAGATAATCATCTCCCCAGTACTTAAGGAATCACAAAATCAGGCCACAATAAACCCCCCAGACCTAAAACTGGCCAACACTGAAATAGTTTTTCATAATTCTTACCTCAAACACAAATATTTTTATTTCTTAAAATAGCCCCAATTTTAAAATTCTGAACATGATGCAAATTATGGTGCTAAATATTTTTCATACCCCCCTCAGTTCTTACGTACTTGAGGAAAAATTGACAGTCCACCACAAGCAATGAAGTAAGAAAAAAGCACTGGCAATCTGCTTACCCCTTTTTCAGCTAGCAGTTTACTAGATTGCTCGAGGTACTGTGCAGCTTCATACCAGATATCTGGGTGATGTCCCAGAACCAAAAGGCATTGCTCGTAGGCAAACATAACTGGGGGGAAAAAAACGTAAGAAAGACTCTGTGTATATTATCGCAGAAATGGTACCATCTCGCACAACGGAAGTATGCAATACAAAACCCAGCAAATAAACCAGACAACATTAACACTAATTGGCTTTAAAAACAACGATCACAACTGCAGTTCTTGAATAGTGCCAGGAACTCTATGAATCATAACCAGTGGCTAAAACCTACCTCCTCCACAGAGGAAGAAGCAGAACTCACTCAAGGACATCAGCCATAAAATCGGGCTGTGACCCCCTGTTTCATGACCTCCAACGTAAGTTCAGTGGCACACGACTATAGCGCTGTCCCCCAGAATCCATGAATTACTTTCAGCTTGGCTTGAGCAAAAATTAAGGAGTAGTTTAAAAAAAACCCACCCATACAATTCAAGAAATGTGATCAACTTCTGCTCCAGAGTTATCCCTGAACACTAACCACATCATTACTTACACCACAGTAACACATTAACGGAGCTAAGGAACACAATTCTACATGTCCTGGCGCAATATCCAATTACCTCTTTTTGTTATAAGAGTTTGATCTTCTGTACGCAGTGGGTTGCTCTTTTCCCACTGGATATATTTCTTCCACATGTCTACCTGCTGAGCCTCTTGTGGGGTATTTTGGGGGGGGACAGAGGGAGCATTGCGGTCCAGGCCTTTCATCACTGTCTCATACTCCTGAAACAGAAGCAATGTTTTGAATGGCAGATTTAAGCACATTAAACCCTTATTGTAGGTTATGCTTTATAAAACCGATACAAGTATTTTAGCATACCAACCTTCTTAGCCTCACACACACTTTTATTTGAAAAGAAGAACCAAGTTTAATGCTAGTTTGTAAAGTACAAGAGAACAAAGAAAAGTCAACACAAGGTTGTACCTTTGCTACACGTCGTGCGTTCATATAATCTCTACTCCTGTCTTCAATCATCTTCTTAGCTAAGTGAATATTGATGCCCTGGAAAAGGGGGAAAAAAAGGAATTGGGAATGCACAATTTCACTTTGGAAATACTGAATCTCATTTCATACAGAAAAGAGCTTGAAAGGGGATGCAAAGGCGAGCAAGAAGGACAAAGTTATTTTACTGATCTCGAAAGGTTCTGCATTTCTCCTAATAAACACACGGGCAAGAACTTGTGCATCAGAGAACAAACTCACTACTAAAAATCAACTGAAGCACCTCAGTATATTTTTAATCACAGCTTTCAAAACACAGTGACCTTTACATAAAGCTGCTGGGGGAAGGAATGTGTTTGTGATTTACATTTTTCCTTTCCCATTCTGGTCCGTGCCTGGTCAGAGTCACAGCTCCCTGCCTCACTGCTGCCCTGCCGGCTCCTCACCAGGTGAAGACTCAGACAGAGTATGAGCAATTTGGCTTTCTTGGACAAGTAATAACAGAGATTGACCTCGAAGCTCTGCCTTCTCCTCTGTTCCTGAAGTAACCGACAGCTTTTAGATGAGGCTATATTCAGCACACACCCTGCCATACATAAACTTTCATTAGCTGAGAGACTGGAGACCTGTCTCTGCAGAGGGACACCCCCAGCACTCCACCCATGTGCAGAGGGCCCTGCCGCTCTGCTGAGCAAGAGCAGCAGGGGATTTGGGGCAGCTAGGCCCCAGGGCACAACCCACATCTCGGCATTGGCAACACAGGCCTCGTCATGGGGTCCCAGGCATGAACAAAATCTCAAAGAACTGCTCTTATGGCAGGACAAGCAACCGCCCTTTTGTTCGTGCCTGTGTCAGGGGGGATTTTGCTGGCGTGGCTCAGCAGGACTTGAGGAAGGTGAGCACAGCTTTCAGTCCTATTCCAAACAGGCACCCGAGCCGGGTACCGACTCATTGCAGAAGCAAGGTACCGTCTGGACTCTCGCAGGGTGCTGGCTCGGATCGCTATCTGGGCCAGCGAGCGCACAAACCCAGCAATGCCCCGTTTAACGCAGGAGCGGGCTGAGGACGCAGCCGTGTTCTCCCAGGATGTGCTCCCAGCCCTGTGAGGTGCACTCGTGCGGCTCTGCCAGCCAAAGGTTGTCACTTCTCTGTCTCACTAGGGGTGTTGCCATTTCGGACCATTTGTTTAATTAAAGATACTGGTGACTGACTGGCTGATACCACTACCCGGTGGCTACCAGCTGAGCTAAAGGGAAGCTTGAGAGTATTTGAATTGTGGTGAATAGCCAGGAACCTTTCGTACCGAGACCTGCATGTGATCTCTGTGTTGTTGGGCTACCGATGTGGGGAATCGCTCCCCCCTCAAAGGGCCCTTCTGGTGAGGGGCATTTCCTTCCCCGTGCCCGGACACCTGTATCCATCGGCCCTTTCCCTGGAGGCCAGCCTAGCCAGAACAGGACACGCAGAAACCCATGTCCGAGCAAAGTGCTGGCCCTCAGCTTCCAGCAACCCTGAGCAGCCCGAGGTGCTGGGTTGTGTTACGGGTGTCAGCCAGGGCTGCCTCAGCTAGCAGATACAGAATGAACGTAGGACAGGTTTCAGCTTTTGTTTTGACAGCCTCCCTACCTATTGACGACAGCAGTAGGAACCAGCAGTGACAGCCTTCATTTGCTGTGTGGGAGGGGAAGAGGAGGTTTACTGGGAAGTTGTACTGGGGATTTTCTTGCGCAGGAGAAGGCCCGTCACTGGGTACCTTCCCTGGTGGTCAGCAGGCTATCTGTGGTAACCCTGAACACCGGCGGGGCGCAGTACACGCTCGTGCCTGTGGATGCCTGCAGGTCCTCCCGCTGGCTAAGCACAGCAGCCCAATTAGCGTCAGGTCACCAATCCTACAACTTGCGTAATTAGCAACAAGGGAAGATAAATTGTCCCTTCTTTCCTGCTCAGCGCACAGCTGACCCCCAGCACACTGGCATCCACAACCCCGGGAGCAAAATGCCAGGCAAGGGACGGTGCTGAACGAGCACCCCTGCCTGACGGTGCCGAGCGGGAGGGCATCTGCTCTCAGTTCTGCCTTCTCACCTCTGCTGATGGGGACAGGTTAACAAGCCATTACCAAACATGGTTACAAATACGTTGTAAAGGTGCTACAAATTAGCGTGCAAGGTCAGGGGGGTGAGGTACACTTGCTGAATTCAGACAGTGTGGTTGCAGACTCACCCGAATTGATGCTGTAATGGCTTCAGGTAAAGGATGGTGAGGAACATTTTATATGTACTTGAGACCATGTAACTTAATACCATGAAGGAAGTCCAAACCATCATAGCTGAATGCCATTTCACCCTGTTGAACTCTAACTGGAAGGAGGGGAGTGCCTCCTTGGGGAAGCAAGCCCTCATTGCCAGCTGCTCTGCTCTAGCTTCCATTAAATATATTCTCTACCATTGATACCAGTGATTTCTAATTCACCAGCAATTCTACTGGGCCAACAGGGCAATGGGACAGTTATATGTATCCTACAGAAAGCCTTTAAAATAAAAAATAATTATCACTGAGGTACCTGTACAGTTTTGCCACAGGTCTTGGTGCATACTGCACAGGCAAAATGTGTTTATACTGCCGGTCATCTCTTTTACATGTAATTATTTAGTGGATACAATTTGGGCACCATACTTAATTATACAACCTATTTTTTTTTTAAATGTCACAAACAAATTTAATTTTCTTAATTACCTCTTCGTATTTGTTATAATCTCTCCAGAGCTGTTCTATGTTTATCATTGGATTCACGCAACCACGCTGGTAAACCCTACGGACAGCTGTTATCCTCTGGTTTTCTGCATAAGATCCTACTGCTTCTCTAAATAGTGGGGAGAGAGATTAACATCAGCTATTACAGGTCATAACTGGTATGAACATCAACATTACATTAACTGAGCTTAAAAAAATTCTTTTAAGATACTTACACGCCCTTCAAAAAATTGATGTAATCCACCCAGATCTATGTGAGAAAAAATATTACATATAGTGAAACCAATGTTTAGTTGTATTACTTACAAAGTAAGAAATAAAATGTTTTTTGATAAACAAACATACCTGGTATGACATGATTTCCATGCCAATCTTATCCAGAGCAAAATCATATGCCTGAGCCATTTTTTCTCTGAGGAAAAAAAAAAACCACAAAGACCATAGAGCAAGTCTTTAGTATTTAAAAAAATTCTTTATTGAAGAGTATTCTTTTGTGCAGCAAATTCTAAACAAACATTGAGGTATGAAAAGTATCGTTCAACAGCTAAGAATAAAAATTGGCACTCAGACAGCTTTAAATTCAGCATTTAGGGGTTGTTTATTTTTTATGAAAATTATTTAGCTGACAGATGTAGCCACAGCTGCTTTATTTTTTCCCCAGAATTCCCCAAACTTTGTTGTAAGCCTCCAGGAACACCAAAAGGCTGGGGCAATTCGGAGTAGCTCCCCTGTGTGGAAACTGGCCAAAATCTTTCACATGATTTCATATCCCTCCCCAAATCAAAGTATTTTTGCCCAAGTTTAAAATGTTCACACAGGATTTCCTTGGTCAAGGTTCAACAAAACCAGCTTTTTCTCTCTCCCACCTTTCTTCCAGTTTCCTTTATTCAAACACCTTTCAGTACCTTACTATCTCCTTGACCATCTTAGCAGGAAAAATAGAGGAAAGTTAAACGAGATAAAAAGATTGGGGGGGGGGGAGGGGGGCGTGCTGGTACTTTTAAAAATGGTTTCAGACCAGTCTTGAAAAATAAATTTTAAAAAATCTGGTTTTCTGTTAATGCATTAGTTATCTTGCCAGTTATAATACAAAGGAATTATGGTGGGCTGGGAAAGAAACAGTTTATAGGTGCTGAAAGGTACTGATGTATTTTGAAACCTGAAGCAGGAATAAAAAGCTTTAAACCCAGTCTGCAGGATTATAAAAAAGCAAAATGCAGTAAATGAAAAGGGATGAAGATGATTAATGCATCCTAAAATTCTGATACCTTGATTTTTATGCCTTTTTATGCCTTCTGAAACTTTAATTCCTGAGCTATTTCCTATTCCTAGTCAAATATAGTGCCTCAGCTGGAATGAATGCTGAATTTTGTGGAGACTCTAAGCAGGGCACTAAGGGGGAGGAGGGCAGAAGGTGCCAAGAGAGGACGAAGCGCGTTTCGGACTGGCTCAAGCACCCTCCGCCTCTGCAGGGAACGGGCACAGATACGCCAGCGACTCCCCTGCTCCTGTCCCACCTCATTACAGGGGTCCAGACTAAGGAAGCAATTGTACCCAGCAAGCTCAATTAAAGAAACTTTAAAGAGAATGTTTTCTAAATGCAGGTTATATATTATCCCCTCAACACCCTACCACCAGAAGTTCCCCAGGCAGGTTTGCTACCCAGGTTCCTCCCCAGCCCCTAAACAAAAATCAAGAAGAGATTCACCGTAAAACTAGAATAATTCAGAGCAACTCTGTTAACTTACTTGTAACTAGGTAGCTTCCCCTTGGTTTCTCGTACATAGGAAAGGTAACATTTCCATAAATCAATGTGTAAAACCTTCATAAGGCATCGCTGAAATAACTGTTTAATACATCAAGAAGACGTGATCAGGATTCCAGATACAGAAATTAGGTTTCTACTTTTAAAGCTATACAGTATGAATTAAAATAATCTTTGTAATTATGATTGAGATTTGTAAGAAAGAGTAAGTTAAACTACTCTTCCTTTTGACTAAAGCACCTCCGTGCTACACAAGGGAACTGGAGAGAATTAAGCAGAGAAATTCCTCTGCACGCTTCACTGATTACAGCTTGGTAGCAACAGCAAATTGACATTAGCCTCACTTCTGAGCTGTGGTTTTGAATAGCACATTCAATGACAGCTACAGTTCTTTTCAATCTGCTTTAGCCTAATCACGAGATACTTGTTCTTGCTATAGACATATATTACATATATTGATAGGACTCACCTTTTCCACTTTGTCATAATTTTTTGCTTTAATCTATAGGGAAGCAGAAAAAAACAAATCACTTAAGAAACTATTTTAGAATAGTAGGAATATATTCTTCATACAGTACTATAGCATTCCAGTTTGTACTTTGGCTGCTTAAGCTAATTACATTGTAACACCACATAATGTTGCAAAAATATAATTAAACATACAAAAATAATGTACTTTGCTTAGAAAAGAAGTGGGTTTTAATTTTTATTTATTTTTCATTAGGGCCAAAACTTAGGTATCAGTAGGTGAAGTTCCTTTCCTGTATTCTGGGTTGGACACCCAGACTTAGCTTCTTATTTTAAGGTACTCTGTTGCCTTACGTGCATATATTGACTTAGATACCAAAGCTTCTAGATCAGGCTTTAGTGAATTAAGGGTAAAATACCATACTTACAAAGCTAGTAGGCTAATAAATGCATTATATTTGAATATTTATTTCTCAAAGTACACTGTGCTGTAACATGCTGATGCTGAATAAGGGAACAATAAACCACAGTGAATCTGGTTTTTGGCAGGCGCCCCCAGCCCTGGTGCTCCCTGCCAGGAGGGACCCAACCACGCTCACGTCTCGGCACTCGCTCCATTCAGACCGCACGCACACCGCAAGGGTAGAGGGTGAAACCTAATCTCGAAGTAACAGGTTGCCTTTCAGATAAGACACAGAAAAGCAGGAGACAGATGCAGAGGGCAGAGTGGCACCCTTCATTTATTTATTGGCACCGGTTACGCTAACGTATTAGGCAAGCTGTAGAGAGACACCCTGAAGAAACAAGGAAAACCTACAATGCCTCTAGAAAATGCTTATCTGCATTGGAATAAAGGGCCTTTAATGAAATAAGGATTTGTTATGCTGTGTTGCGTTTTTTTAAAGCATCAAACCTCCCTTTTAAATCTCATTGCTCTTTGCTTATTTAGGGGATTCACAGCTTTTTTTCTCGGCGCGCAACACGAGAGCCACAGGAGCAGTTCTGAAAGCCTTTCCTTTTCCCCCAGGGATCACGCGGTAGGCAGCAAGCAGCACCCTTTTGCACCGGGTATTAATGACACCATTTTTATATCATTCTCATTCTAAAGCACGAGATGATTTTTCACGGAAGCGTTAGGAAACACCGTCTCATCTGCAGAAGGCCTCAAATAAATAAGATGTCCTGTACTGCATCATGCACTGCCTTTCTGATCTGCTGTTTCCCCAAGTTTCTACACTCCTGCAACATGCCGTCTTCCAAGACCCCTAAACATTAGGGTCAGGGTCCCAAAGAGTATCCCCATTGCTCTCAATCCAGAACAAGATCAATCAAAAATGAGAGAATTCAAACAAGTTTTGCAGAAAAACTTGAATGGCATACGTGGCAGACCGGACCCTTGTGCCTGTACCGCTTTTGAACTGGAGCAGCATCTTGCCCTGGTCAAAATGATTTAAAAAAATCAGGGTTTGCAGGGAGTTAAGCCTAATTATGTCTTGCACACAGAATTTTCACAAAGTCTTTCTGCAAACTGTTCAGTTAAAGGAGTGCTGACCAGAGAAATGACCGATTACAGAAATAACACTGCTCTGAAATAACACTGAACTACAGCAAGTCCAGAGGCGGGATGTCCATGCCAGGGGAACACCTCCAACCTCTGCCGCAAGGCACGCGGGCCCAACGCGCCCTCAGATCCGGGTATGTACCCCACTGCCACCTTGCCACAGCTTTGTGTGAGAAGAGCACAATCTCTCAACCTTTTAAAAAGCACTTATCGTAGTAGTTGTATGGTCGTGTAGATGGAAGCCTCTTGTGGACACAAATTAAGAGGTCTGACCCTGCCCTATTCCTAGTTGAAGGAAAATAACTTATGTTTTAAATTTCTCCTCCACCGTAAAGTCCAAACCAGACATCTCCCATTTTTACTTCACTCTTTTTTGACAGTAACTTCTCAGGTTTCTCTGCACCTCTTAGAATACGATGAAAAGGATTAATCTCTCACTAAAGAGCAAGAGCTCTCAGTCCATGCCTCCCACCCCCTGTAAACTCCTTTTATCCTTGGTCACCAAGTGGAAAAGAACAAACGGACCTTGGTTTGTATGGCTAGCACAGAGCACAGCTGCCTGCACTCTTCTCCCTCGTACCTACTCAAGTAAAATCTTCAGTAAGATGAACACAAACTTTTTTTCTTTTAAAAAAAGAGTGAACCTCCAGGAGATCGTATAAATCCTTTTTTTGTGAAAATTAAATAAAATTAATCCATGGCTTTGCCACTGACAAAAGACATCAGCTTGTAGTTATTCAAGGACAAGCCAAAAATATTTTTCAAAAGCTCAGAATGAAAGGCTATAAGCAGGCAGGGCAAAAATCGGCATGCCTTCCAGGTTGAGCCACGTAAAAAAGTGTTCTGCGCACCCGCCTTGAGTGACTATGCCAACAGCAGTTCCTAGAGGTAGCCGACAGGGCTGTGAATGCTGTCTGCCTGCTTAGCGCATCTCCCCCCCTTGCCACCCAAAAGCCCAATGACAACCATTACTCAGCATGAGTGACCCAGACTGACCTCAGTAATTGTACACGGCATCAAGTCAGTGCACAGTAATCCCACTTAATTGTTTCCTAGAGCAGTTTTATTAGCGCATGGCACCACTGTCACCAAGCAACATCAAGAAGACTGAGCACAAGGAGTACTTATCAATTAGACTACACGCACTTCTAATAGCCAAAGAGCTTGAAAAGTAAAACATTTTGCTAAAGGAAAAAAAGCTATATTCTTTATTTGCATGTGTTACGACTCAAAGAACAAAACATTTTCTATGTGAACTATCAGATATATGAGAAGCCGCTGTCCACATCTGGACTTCAAGTCAGTGTTATGCATTTGTTAAATCCACACAAGTGGTTTGATATCCGTACCTGAAAATTCAGAAATCTTGGTACCAACGAAGTTAGGAGGTTGGCGATTGGCAGGATTTGTTAAAAATAAAGGAAAAGAAAAAGCAATATTGGCCCACGCTTACTGGGTCTCTCTCACTGGAGAGTTTTTACCAAGCCCCCTGAGCCAGCAGGAAGAGCAGCTATTTCTGCAGGAATTTGTTTGCGTTTCTTGGCTCAGCGCTCCCCAGCAAACATCCTGGCAGCCCTGGCACAGGGACACCACAGGGATGCCACAGGGATGGGGGAGCCCATCACCAGGGAGGGCACGCACTGCCTCCAGGACGCACCATCACACATTTCTGCTACATTTCTTGTTTTTCCTATTACAGACACAGGAACAGGCAGTGATTAGACATGGACAAGCATTAAAGGATTGACAATACTGTATTTTTGTCCTTAAAACAAACACAACAAAGCAAACTATAGATCTTTTAAAAAAATTATCCTTCAATTTCTAATGCTGCCTGTATTCCTATTCTGATTGCTTTAATTTAAGAGGTAAGTGTTACTCTACAGAGGCTAACATATAGGAGCATCTCCACCATGAACCCATCACCCACAGAATGAGCTTAGGCATATTGTCACTCTAAGGTAAAACTGGTACATATGAGTATCTCCCCCCATCCGTGAAGGCTATACAAAGACCACCTAGTCTGGCCAGCTTGGACACTCCTGTAGTAAAACACATCTGACCTTGCCTTCCTCTCCCTGTGACAATGAGAAATTCCACCTGTTCTGTGGAAAGAGTAACTTTAAATGTGATGCTCCAATAGGAAATTGCATCAGCTTTGTACAAGATGAATTTATAACAGGGTAAAATTTCTTCCCAGAATACACAACGTGCTTCCCAAAAATGAACTTCGCAAACATTCAAGGGCAAAATTTAATCCATGAACTACACATTGCACTTCACCCTTTTTAATAGACTTATTAAAACACATATGTATCATTCATGATTATGCAAAGCAAGTGATTTTATTCATCTAGGGACTTAAGACTACTTGCAGTTGTCAGGAAACATACAACACAAAAAAGTTTGCTTGTTTTCTTTAAACCTTTTCAGTGTTTCTTGGTTTCGAACAAGCTCCTAAGGAAGCACGGTCAGCACATGGTACTTCAGGATCTGCGCGGCTTTTTCTGCCATGACTCTCATTTCCTTCTTCTGGGCCTCATCTATTTCTAGATCTCAACTCTCTCTCCTTTTTCAGTGGTTATCTTCCAAGGAAAAAAAAAAAAATCATTTTCTCAAGCATAAAATCTAATGTTCCCTTATCCACTGCCTCCAGCTCTCCCTTGAGTGAGCTAAATCTTCTTGCCCTCTCCCCTCCCCACCGCCCCTGCACTGCTCTCCAATGTTTTTCGGAATTTTTTTGGGAAGAGGGACCTGAAGAGAAACACCACACGCCACTGGCAGACTGCACCAGCTGATGAGGGACAGGCTGGGAGAGGAGAAAACACCATGGCACTGCTGGTGTTAACTTTCCGAGGATTTAGTTCATAGTGACTGGTATTTTTAGAACTACTATTTCCTAAAATCTGGTTTCATTATAAATACTACCATGTATGCAACATATTTTAATTTTTTTTAAAAACCACACATACAACGTATGTTTCAGAGTACAAAATTACAACCAGAGCACACATGTATGTATTTGGAAGTATGGCTTTTGTTTATTAACTGAAGGGAGCTCACTGTTAGAGACCTATGTTTATTCACACAGGTGACTAGGTATTAGGTAATTAAGAAGTTAATATTTTAAACATAAAATAATAAAACCAGACTACACAATTTGTCATCACTGAATCCATTTGTGTTGTCCATCTGCCTTTTTTTTTTAACTTCTTGATTACTAGGGTAAAAGAATCAACGACCCATAGTCAAGTCCAGTGGGAAGTAATTTGGGTCTCTACTAGTATAGAGCTATAGGTATAATAAAACATTCACATTTCTCTACCTGGTTTGGAAATATAGGTTAGGGCTGGCTGGAGAGATGTTTGCTCTCTGTTTGCAGAATAAATACTGCTTGGACCATAGCAGTTCAAACATCTCGGACTGCCTCAAAGAAATGCAATCTTTGAAGGCTCAAGGGAGCACAACACGCT